TTGTGATCCATTTTGCTCCATCTGAAGAGGCAAAAAGACTATCCCTAGAAGGTGGTATTTTCGGGGCCTGGGGTTGTGGCTCAGCGGTAGAGCACTCGCCTCACATGTGCGAGATCCTGGGTTCAATCCTCAGCATCACATAAGAATAAATAAGTAAAATAAAGGTATTGTTTCCAACTACAACTAAAAAAATAAATATTTTTTTAAAAATTAAAAAAAAAAGAAGGTGGTATTTTCCCAGGTGGTATGTAGGGATTTCTGAATAAGATATTTTAAGAAGGCTGAGGCAGGTCAGATGTTTAATAACAATATCTTCCTTTTTATTCTATTCCAGTTCTGCCTTTGTAATTCGCAGCTTTTACCCAAATACTTCAGAAAATGAACAAATCCCAGGTGAGTTGTTTGGTTACTCCCTACTTGTTTTTCATTGCATTTGTGGAATTTTATATGAAAATGTCTGAAAAGTATAAATGAGTTAGACTCAAGGAAAACATGATAAGAATAAGTGATCAATGCCAGCAGCCAAATAGCAAACTGAGTTACATGTCTTGTATTGGTTATGAATACTAATCCCTTGGTGTCCTCTATATTAGGTCTGAACCAATTTTATGGACTTTGATGTAGACAGTGTTTTGGATAGCATCCCCAGAAACAATCAAAATTAATCAGATTATCAGTTTGTCCACGGTTGCTACTTTATAGCATTCTTCAGTGCAAGTGCAGAGTATTATGGCATATATTTTGTTTTTCCAACCAGAGTAGTATGATGCCAGTGAACTCTTAAAATTTTCCCCTATGTCCCACAGATACCATTGCCATTAGTTTCTTGAGTAGCTTTCCAGAGTTGATGTGTACATATTTACACAAGTACAAATAGAGGTACAGATATAAGATAACATAGCATGTGAATCAGACTGTTCTGTGTGTTTTATTGTTGTTGGTAGTGGTGTTTTTATGGTATCAGGGATTGAACCCAGGGGCACTTAAACACTGAGCCACATCCCCAGCCCTTTTTTATTTTTTATTTTTTTGAGACAGGGTCTCACTAAATTGCTTAGTGCTTTGCTAAGTTACCAAGGCTGGCTTTGAACTTGCAATCCTCCTGCCTCAGCCTCCCAAGTAGCTGGGATTATAGGTGTGTACTACTGCACCCAGTTTATTTGTGTTTCATTCTTAATGTTATTCGAATTAACACCTTGAGTTACTGTGGTATACTTGTTAGAATTGATAGGTCTATATTGATACTTTAATTCAAGTCCATAGTTTACATTAGGGTTCACTCTTTGTGTTATACATCCTGTGGGCTTTGGCAAATGTAAAATGACATGTATCTATTATTATAATATCATACCAAATAGTTTCACTACCCCTAGGTCCCCTGTGCTCTGTTTATTTCTCTTGCCCGCTCCTTAAGCCCCAGCCGAAAGTCATCTCTTGATTGTCATATCTCCCTAGTTTTGCCATTTCCAAAATGCCTTATAGTTGTGCTCATACAGTAGGTAACCTTTTCAGATTTGTTTCCTTTACTTGAATATGCATTTAAGGTTCCTCCACTTTTCCCTGGCTTGATAGTTCATTTCTTTTTAGCACTAAATAACATTGAATCAGTTTATGTATTCATTCACCTATTGAAAGACATCTTGGTTTCTTCCAAGTTTTGGCAATTATATGCAGGTTTTTATGTCAGCATAAGTTTTTGATTCATTTGAGTAAATACCATGGACGTGATTGCTGGACCATATAGTAAGAAAACTAATAACCATATGATTAGTTTTGTAAGAAACTGCCAAACTGTCTTCCAGGTGGCCCTACCATTTTGCATTCCCACCAGCAATGAATGAGCGTTCCTGTTACTCCATACCTCACAAGCATTTCATGTCGTCAGTGTTCTGGATTTGGGCCATTCTAATAGATGTGTAGTGGTATCTTGTTTTAATTTACAATTCTCTAATGATGTATAATGTTGAGCATCTTTTCACGTATTTATTTGCCATTTATTTTTCTTCTTTGTTGAAGTGTTTGTTCAGATCTGCTGTCTATTTTTTAAAAAAATTAGATTGTTTGTTTTGTTTAGTTTTAAGAGTTATTTTTAGGGCCTGGGAATGTGCCTCAGTGGTAGAGCACTTGCCTAGCATGTGTGAGGCCCTGAGTTCAATTCTGAGTACTGCTTTTAAAAAAAAAAGAAAAATTATTTATTTATTTTAGGTATTTTATCAGATATGATTTTGAAGATTTTCTCCCAGTCTGGTTTATTTTTTTCATTTTCTCTCTCTCTCTCTCTCTCTCTCTCTCTCTCTCTCTCTCTCTCTCTCTTTTTAAATCATTGAATGACATATCTTTTGCCAGGCATAGTAGTGCACAACTGTAATCTCAGTGGCTCTAGAGGCTGAGGCAGGAAGATCACAAGCCAGCCTCAGCAACTTAGGGAGCCCCTAATCAACTCAGTGAGACCCTATCTCTTATTAAAATATGAAAAAGGGCTTGGGGTATAGTTCAGTGGTTAAGCACACTGGGTTCATTCTCTGGTACCAAAAAAAAAAAAAAAAAATTATTTTGAAGTCTTTCCATATTAGAGCAAAGAAAACTTCATTCTTTTTTTCCCCTGATTTTTAAAATCCTGGAATGTAAAATATGTTCAAAGCAATATAATAAAATGATATAACAATTTTTTTTAAGTACTAGGGATTAAACCCAGGGGCACTTTATCGCTGAGCTATATCCCCAGCTCTTTTCATTTTTTATTTTGAGACAGGGTCTTACTAAATTCCTGAAGGCCTTGCTAGTTTCTGTGTCTGGACTTGAACTTGTGATCTTAATGGACAAAATACCATTATTTTGTTTATTCATGTTTATGTGGTGCTGAGAATTGAATGCAGTGCCTAACACATGGTAGGCAAGTGCTCTACCGCAGAGCCACAACTCCAGCCCACGTTATCTGTACTTTATGATACATTCCATAGATCCTCCTGGTAGATAGCCATTTTCTCAACATTTTTGTTAATCATTCCTTTGCTTTTCTTAAAGATTTTGCCACTTGACCTGGGACTGTGGCTCAGTGGTAGAGCGCTTGCCTAGCAGGTGTGCACTGGGTTCAATTCTCAGCACTGCATATAAATAAATAAATAAATGTCCATCGACATTTAAAAAATTTAAAAAAAAATAAAATATTTTGCCACTTATTTGTGTATCCCTAATCAGTATAAAATTGAATTTTAGGGGCTGGGGATGTGGCTCAAGCAGTAGCGCGCTCGCCTGGCATGCGTGCGGCCCTGGTTCGATCCTCAGCACCACATACAAACAAAGATGTTGTGTCTGCCGAAAACTGAAAAATAAATATTGAAATTCTCAAAAAAAAAAATTGAATTTTGAAAAATTGTAACTAGAATTAATATTGCCTTTGTTTGCCTAATCAAAATTTTGATTGGTGGAAGTTTTTTTTTTTTTTCTTTCAGATATGTAAGATCTAAAAGATGTCCTTTCATGCACCTGTGTGCCCTTCCCCAAGACTTAAATTTTGGGTTTTTTTTTTGTTTTTTGCTTTTTTTTTTAATATTTATTTATTAGTTGTAGTTGGACACAATACCTTTATTTAATTTATTTATTTTTATGTGGTGCTGAGGATCGAACCCAGGGTCTCTCAAGTGCTAGGCAAGTGCTCTGCCGCTGAGCCACAACCCCAGCCCTTTTTTTTTTAGATGCTGATGGACCTTTTTTTTTTTCATTTATTTATGTGCAGTGCTCAGAATTGAACCCAGTGTCTCACGCATGCTAGGCAGGCACTCTACCACTGAACCACAACCCCAACCCTTTAAGGGTTTTTAAATTATTTTTCAGATTGCATTAGCTTAGGTAGGCATGATGGCACGCACCATCATGTAATCCCAGGAGGCTGAAGCAGGAGGTCGAAAATTCAAGGCCAGCCTCAGCAACTTAGAGGCCCTAAGCAACCTGGCAAGACCCTGTCTCAATAAAAAGGATTGGAGATGGGGCTCAGTGGTTAGACAATCTTGGATTCAATCCCCAGCACCAAACACACACACACACACACACACACACTGCATTAGCTTATGTATTCCTGGTGTGGTGTAAAATGATACAGCTCTACTGGAAGCAATGTGGCAGTGCTTTCAAAGCAAACCTAGTACCACAAGTCTAGCCATGTCTAGAAATTTGCTACTACTGGACAAAAATCTTCCAGTTCATGAGAAACATAAGGAAACCTAGAAATCAATGCAGTTGGTACATCTGGCAAGGTCAAAGTGAAGATCAAGTGTTGAGTGTCCGAAAGGAATATAATTGGAGTGGGATGTTCTGTTTCCTGTTTCTGCTCAATGGCTAACTCTTAGGAGTAGATTAAAGCAGAACCCTTCTGTGAGATGAAGTGTCTTCTCATCTGATCCAATTCAGCCTGGTGTGAAAGGAGGGACAGTTAATCATCTGCATATGTTCAAGACAAAACAAACCAAGTACAGATAAGAATTTGGGCCAGGCTCCCCCAAGCAATCTGCCCCTAGGTAATAAAAACGTGCTTAAATACATATTTTAAAGACAGTTTAATCAGCATTTGTTTTCTTCCCAAACATATTTTTTTCTTGCCACAACTCCCAAGTTGCTGGCATCCAAAAATGAGTTACAGCTTATTATTTAACATCTTCTCCCATTCCATGTTTGCTTATTTTAATATATTTTACAGATTTGCTATTGTTTTTGCATCAAATTGACTCATGGTAGGTTTAGTTTTCTTCTTCTGGAGTATCTCCCCCCCCCCCCCACCGGGAATTGAACCCAGGGGCACTCAACCACTGAGCCACATCCCCGGACCTATTTTGTATTTTATTTAGAGATAGGGTCTTGCTGAGTTGCCTAAGGCCTCACTAAGTTGCTGAGACTGACCTTGAACTTGCAATCCTCCTGCCTCAGCCTCCTAAAATGCTGGGATTATAGGTGTGCGCCACCGCGCCCTCCTGGGGTAAGTACCTCCTAACACACTTATTATGTTCCAGTCATCATTTCAGAGCAAGGGCTGTCAAACCCATTGTCCAAATGGCCTGCTGCCTGGTCCTGTATAACCCACAAGCCAAGGCCGGTTTTTACATTTCTAATGATTGGGAATAAAATTAAATGAATAGCATTTTGTTCTTTGAAACTGATATGAAATTCAGATGCAAAGTGTCCATAAATGAAGTTTTATTGAAACATACCTACACCATTTGCTTATATCTTGTCTCTGCTTTTGTGGTAGGATGGTGGAATTGATTCGTTTAAGCAGATCTACACATAGCCTGCAAAAATCTAAAATATTTACTAGACCCTTTCTAGAAAATGTTTGCTTGTCATTATAAATATTTTCAGCACTTTGAAGATATTCCATCATTTGGCTTCCATTATTTCTTTTGAAAAATAATCCATCAGTTTTATCGTGCCTTTGAAGGTAATACTTTTTTTTTTCTTCTAGGGTTTTTGGCAGTTTTATGATGATGTGCTCAAAAGTAGGGTTTCTTGTACTTTACTTGGGATTAGTGGTGTTTTTTGAAACTGTGGCCTGCTGTGAATGGTTTTGGAAAATTCTCAGCCATTGTCTCTTCAAATATTTTACCTCTTAAAATAGAATTCCAAGAGCAACTATGTTAGGCCCTTTAACTTATGTGTCTTTTAGGCTTTTTAATGTATTTTCCATCCTTTGATCCTTTTGTATTTATTTCAGTCTGGATATTTTTTACTGATATTTTCCAGTTTGCTAACCATCTTTTCAACTGTGTCTAATTGGCTATTAAATCAGGCTACAAAGCTAAATGTTGTGGCCCATGTCTATAATCCCAGCAACTCGGGAGGTTGAAGCAGGAGGATCACAGATCAGCCTGGGCATCTTCATGAGACCCTATCTCAAAAGAAAAAATAAAAAGGGCCAAAGTATAACTCAGTGGTAAAGTGCCCCCGTGTTTGATTCCCAGTACCAAAAAAAAAATTTTATGGCTTGAAGGGGGTTGGGAGATCCTTACTTGAAGCTGACAATTTGTTTCAATACTAGAAATCCTCCTGTTTTTTTTCAATATTCAAAACTTTTTAATAATTTGCTACTACAAAATGTTTGTGTGAGTTTCGTCACTACCCTGGTAACGTCATATACTGAGAGAGAGATATTTTTTGGTACCTGGGATTGAACCCAGGGGTGTTTAACCACTGTAAGCCACATCCCCAGTTTTTTTTTTTTTTTTAATAGAGACAGGGTGTTCCGGAGTTGGTGAGGCTGGCTTTGAACTCACAATCCTCCTGCCTCAGCCTCCTGAACCACTGGGATTATAGGCGTGTACCACTGCGCCCGGCTCCCTGTATATATCTTAACAGCAGAATCAGATTTTGTTGTTAGAGATCTATCAAATATGATAGTGCCAAAGATATAGGGATCTTAACCACATATTTTTGGAGTCAAAAATATAGTAAACAAGATGTACCATAGGTATTATTTGTAAATTTTCATGGTGGGTAACTTACAACATGGTAAGAATAAGTTTTCATATATCCTTTCCACATCACCAAAACATGATCATTTCAGATTAATATGCAATTTCAGGGATCAGTTTCATTCACGGATGTGACTGTGGACTTCACCCAGGAGGAATGGGAGCAACTGGACCCCTCTCAGAGGATTCTATACATGGATGTGATGCTGGAGAATTATAGCAACTTACTTTCAGTGGGTAAGAACAGCTTTCAGATGTATCTCACTGTTTGCCTAGTAGCATTGAGTTTCTGAATAATTATGTGGCGTTTATATCAGATAGGGAACTTTCAACTTTGTAGAAATGAGAGCCAGTCAAAAGATGGTAAACACACAGGCAAGGCTTTATTGGAACTTCTGCTTGAGCAAGAAGGGAGACAGCCTGACAGTGTGTCAGGCTGGCTCAAACAGAAGACAAAGGTGTACAGCTTTTATGGCATCTTCAGGGTAGGCTGTGGCCCAGTCTTTTGGTGCCATCACATGTAGTGGTGGGGTTTTAGTTTAGTCTGAGCTCTTCATGCCTCTTGATGGGACTGTCTCATTGCCAGCTTAAGGGTGTTTTATTCTATGCTAATAAGGTAATTCTGCAGGCTACTTTACAACTATTATATGCATGTGTTTGTCCCTCACCACCTGGATTTGTTCTTATCTGGGAAAATCCCTAATAATCTTTTTAGATCAGAGCAAACTATCATCCTGATTCAGTGGGTTTGATTTTAGTGACCTTATCTTGTCTGGCTTGTAACTTCTTGGTATTTCTACTGACTCCAAGCTGATTCTTCAACTTCTCATCGCTTGATGTGCCTTATTAATTTTATAGTTATAAGGTTCATCTTTTAACTCCTGATTTTCTGGTATGTCTGTTAACCCCATAAGACTAAGCTATTTTAATGTCAGCCTTTTTAGAAATATTGAGCTGCCACAAGAAATCAAACGTACTCAAAAGTGGGTCAGCAAGGCAAATGTTACTTCTGTCATAAGAGTGTGCCACCAAACCTGGCTAGCAGTGCACTTGGGCAGGCAGTTGACCTGCTTTTATCCCTAACACAGTGTTCCCCCTTGCTCTGATAGGAGCAGCTCAGGGTTATAATTTATGATTAGCTAATTTTGAAATTGGGGCAGACAAAGGGAAGAGCTCTAGTTAAAAATGGCTACAATTGGATCTTTATATCCCAATTAAGGCTAAATACTATATTCTAAAAATGGACGACCAAACTTTCTATTTCTCACAAGTCCCTCTTTTTCTTTATATACCTTTTGGTCTTATTTTCATTTTTGTACCCTTTGGCATTGCCATCCATCCTAGATATTTTAACTTTCTGAGGTGGAAATGACCTATGGTAATGAGTTCTCCCCCTTTTAGCAGTTCCGATAGCCATGGTGATTAGGAGCACTTGGTAAGGTCCTTTCCAGCTTGGTTGAAGCTTGTCTTCTTTCTAGGTCTTGATGAAAATCAAGCCACCAGGCTGGAAGTGATGAATTGCAAACTCCAGAAGGGGAATCTGAGCAGCAGTTCATAATAATCATACTAGAAAAAAAAGAAAAGCACAGATGTTTCAAATTGACTCAAACTTGAACTTGTGACTCTGACAGTGCTTTTTGTGATATTTCTCAGGCACTCCTGTATAAAAACCCTTCCTTTATAGCCTCCCAGTTTTACTTACTGACACAGGAGGACTGACACAGAAAGTAAATCTAAAGTAAAAGAACCATTGTTTTATATTCTAAATGTCCATGTATGGCTGTATTCTGGTTATATTCTTCTGCCAGGTATTTAAGACCAAGCTGGTCAAAACTGACCTTTTTTCTGTCTACTGTTAGAGTCAGCTGAGATTTATTAGGGATCACTCTTGGGAACTCATGAGAAGCCTCTTGGCTCCTTTAACTTTTATTCTACCATTAGTTGTGCCATCTGCCAGGATGGGTCAGGGTCTTGCTGACCACATTTGACTTCTCTTGGAAGCATCAGGGACATGTCCCTCTCCAGTGATGACCTTCCTCTTTGCAGATTGTGCACAAGTTGGCTTCCCGTTTTCTAGGGTCCTCTTGATCCCCCTGATTGGGAGGTCATTTGACTCAAGGGAGTTGTAGGGCCCATTGTTCCCCTAGTTTTGGGTGGCTCAAGAGGGCAAGGGCCAAAATGTTGGCTATTTTTTCCTTATCCTTTTACTTCCTTGACTTCAGTCTCCAGGATTTGGGTTAAACATTAAGCAGGCCAGTTTCACCAGTCTTAAAATAGTCCTGGGTTTTAACTGAAATGTCTATAATTTTATAGTTACCCCTTTTATTCAGTTGGGGTCAGTATTAGTACTAGAAGTCACCTTTATATCCTATCTGTCCTATAGGTGATGGCTTATTGTCTCGGATTAACTCAAGTTGTGTTTTGTTTTGTTTGGGGGGTACCTGCTTAAACCCCACCCCCATTTTTTTAGATACTTTTGGTGTTATAATCAGTTGCTCTTGCATTGGCATTCTCAGTCTGCCAGTCAGAATGGTGGCTTCTATATTTTAGCTCATGGGAATTGGTGTCATAGCCTTAAAGAAGATAAATTTTTCATTACAAGACTTCGTTATCTTGGATGAAATGGTTGCAGAATCACAAGTGAGTTAGGAATAACCACTAATACACAAGATAAAAGTAAAGGTTATTAAGGGCCTAAGTCAAGTCTGGGCAATCTTTAATATTCAAATTAAAGGAGGGCAATCTTAAAAGGAGAAAAATACTGTAGGGGTAAAAACAGTCATTCTCCAACAACTTCAGTACAAACACAGCAGTAGACCCAGCAACAGCAACGAGTGTGAGTGACTCTGTTGTAAGGATCTGGGTTTATTTTCTATTTCCAACAGAATGAATTTCTGGATCTTGCCATCCATTTGCAAAAAGACAGAGTTCTAAAATAGGATTGTTTCTGCAAACTATGAGAAATGCTGATTTCAAGAGGTTATTTTGGTTTATAGGAGCAGAGTAGGAGGAGGAGGACGAAAGCCAAAAAGCATGCAGACCAGTACTGATCTTACCATAGTAATCTAAAGTGTCAGTTACTAACCTCATCTGTCTGGTACCACCACTTAACATCTTCATCTACTTATTTTCTTGGTCTCTGTTAACTATTCAGTGTTGTTGAGGACACCGTGAATCTCCTTTATTCCTGAAATTGCCAGCTTTTCCATACTATTTATGCCCTGGTTGCTGATCTTTGTTTTTATTTCAATTTCTCTGCTTACTTTAAGGTTATTTTGTCATCTGCCAATGCTACTTTTGTCCATTGTTTTTTTGTTTGTTTGTTTGTTTTTTAAATATTTTTTTAGTCATTGGCAAATCTTTATTTTATTTATTTATATGCGGTGCTGAGAATCGAACCCAGGGCCTCACACAAGCCAGGCAAGCACTCCATCACTGAGCCACAACCCCAGCCCAAGTCCATTGTTAATTCACACTTTTTGGTGTGCACAAGTTTTGTGTGTCTTTTCCTTTCAAGATTTAAGAGAGGAAAAGTTTGCACTGGGATTTTTTTTTTTTTTTTTTTTTTTTTTTTTAGTACTGGGAACAAAGAATCAGCCCTATAACACATTTGTGGAGACTTCCCCTTCTGTGACTTTATATAGAAAGGATTGATAAAGTGCATTTCATTCTGTTTGATCCTAGAAGTGTGGAAGGCTGATGACCAAATGGAGAGGGACCACAGAAACCCAGATGAGCAGGTGAAGCAGTTTATAATCCTCAAAAACCAAACTCCAGTTGAAGAAAGAGATAATCTCTTTGGAAAAACATTTAATCTGAATACAGACTTTGTTTCTTTAAGACAAGTGCCCTATAAATATGACTTATATGAAAAGACTTTGAAACATAATTCAGATTTACTTAATAGAAGCTATGCAAGAAAGCAAGCTGATGAGTGCAATGGCTTTGGAAAACCACTCCTATATCTGAAGCAAGAGAAAACTCACCCTGGAGTAGATTACTCTGATTATAGTAAAAGTGGAAAAGCCCTCAGCCATAAAGAAGTCATTTTTAAACATCAGAAAATTAAAAACCTGGTTCAGCCTTTTCTTTGTAATTACTGTGACAAGGCTTTCTCCTTTAAGTCACTGCTCATTAGTCACAAGAGAATACACACTGGAGAAAAACCCTATGAATGTAATGTATGTAAGAAAACCTTCTCCCATAAGGCAAACCTCATCAAACATCAGAGAATTCATACTGGGGAGAAACCCTTTGAATGTCCCGAGTGTGGAAAAGCTTTCACTCACCAGTCAAACCTCATTGTACACCAGAGAGCACATATGGAGAAGAAGCCCTATGAATGCAGCGAATGTGGAAAGACATTTGCTCAGAAGTTTGAACTCACTACACACCAGAGAATTCATACAGGAGAGCGACCCTATGAGTGTAATGAATGTGCAAAAACCTTCTTTAAGAAATCGAACCTCATCATACATCAGAAAATTCACACAGGGGAGAAACGCTATGAGTGCAGTGAATGCGGCAAATCTTTTATCCAGAACTCACAACTCATCATACACATGAGAACTCACACAGGAGAGAAGCCCTATGAATGTACTGAATGTGGCAAAACATTCAGCCAGAGGTCAACTCTTAGGTTACATCTGAGAATCCATACAGGAGAGAAACCATATGAGTGTTCTGAGTGTGGAAAGGCCTTCAGCAGGAAGTCCCGACTGAGTGTCCATCAGAGAGTACACATAGGAGATAGACCCTGAGACTGCAACCAAGTTGTATTGTGGAAAACTGTATACCAAAATCCTTGCAATGGATAGAAACCTCATGAAGAATTCATGTTGAGATAAAATTTCTCAACTCAAAAATGTGTAAAATACAGGAGCCCTTAAGAAGAATATTATACTAGGAATTGGGTATAATACCCAGGTAAAGTATACATATCAGAATATATCAAATTGTAGATTGTAATACAGTTGGGTATGTCTATGAGCTTTTAAAAATTAATGAATTGAATACTCTGGGTAGCAGCAAAAAGCATATAGAGATTATACCCTAGGAATTTATATGTGAGTATGCCACAGAACACGTTTTTAATCTGCACATGTGAATTTAAGGGTCACTGGGAGTTTGAAATTCTTGACCTCTATGATAATTAGAACACAATATTTTCCATACTAAACATCATGTGTGTCAGTATCTTTCCAACCTAGTATGCATTCCAAATGAAATATTAACAGATTTTAAAGTAGCACGTAGCCTGTGTTTTTGCCTACTGCTTGCCGATGTAAGTCGTGTGACCATTTTTATTGAACTGCCTCCTCAACAGATGACTGTTCGGGAGTCTTAACCCACTTTTGGGTTTGAAGATTTTTTAGAAGTATTTATTAAAATCTGCAAATGTGAGATAATTAAGAGGATATCTAGAAAGTAAAAGGAGACAGATGTGAATTATGTTACTTGGTATATACACAGAATGAAATTGTACCATGTAAAGAGAATATTATCCATCATGCACTTGTTATTTTTCTGTGGGGTATTTACATACAAATGCATGTCTATTACCAAAATGTTGTGTAACCCAGAAACCACCTGTATTTTTGTGTGTTTCCCCGTTTCTCGATATTTTATGAATTGTCTTGCAAAAAAAAAAAAAGATAGGATGTTTATGTAGCTCATAAACGTTAGTCATATTTCAAAGACTTTAGAGAAAAAAATAATTTATTTTAAGAAAAGTCAAGAATTGTCTATTTCATTGCTTCTTAAAATTTCCATGTGCATAATCCACTTTAGAAATGAAGTAATTGCAGTATTCTTTTGTTTTAAAGAGGCATTTCTACTTCGAGTTTCACACGCAACCTAAAACATTTCCCTTTAGAACCTGACCTAGCATAAGTTATTACTTCCTTTCAGTGTTCACAAACACTTTAAGTTAGACTTTGCAGTGATCTCCCCATATATTGTTTGTTGATTAACATTTTAAAAGTTATCTTTTTGTATAAATGAAAGATGTGCCATTTTAGGCTTGATTTCATATTGACAAGTACAGCCTTTCCCTATCCACCACAAATCATGTATTAGAATTATAAGTGGCAACCAAACTATTATTTTTTAAGATAATTGATGTGTTGGGACTACATATGAAAATGAATGACTTTCTGGGCAAGTATATCATCACATCCATAGCCCAGTACGTCTTTGTATTTCAAAGTTGTGATCTTTCTAATACAAGGAAGCAGGGAAGAAGTTAATTTCATACACTGCTGTTAGAAATGTAAATCGTGACGGCCTCCTTGGAAAACATTGTGACTGTCTTTTAACATTAATGATACATACACACTTTAACCCAGGAATCTCACTCCTGAGAATATTTCTAAGGGGAAAAAAAAGTGCCAGTATTGGAGATTTTATGTTTATCAATGTATATTGTATTTTTGGTAAGGACCAAAAAATAAAAAAATGAATGACCATCATAAAGGAATGATTGAATAAATTGTGGTAAAAATATATCATGGCTGTGTGGTATTCCTTTGGAAAAAAATGTAGGATCAAACTTTTCCATGTTGAAAGAGAATATGAGAGTATTCCAGTTTTTATAAAATAAAGATCTAGAAATACGTATGTGTGGGGTTGCGGGGCCTGGACATAGAAGTCCTTTCTTTGTGCCCTCGGGAACTCATCAGCTTATTGATGATGGCAGGAAAATGAGCTAGCCCACATTCCTTATGAAAGATGTCTTGGCCTGAGATAGTTACCACTCAGCAGTAACAGTAGCCAGGGCATCATTTTCTTACCTTAGTTTACAGAGGATGACGCAGTACAGGACATGTGATGCCTACACATATGTTGGGTTGTTAGAGGAACCTGGAGTTTAGGGAACCTGAATCTTACACTAGGGGTTGCAAGAAAATCAACCCAACTTTGCTCCAAAGAGAGACATCTTTACTATGCTGGATGTGAAACCTGCTCTCTCCTCTGGAGAGAGAACTTTATGTCTTGTAAGACTATTCACTTTTCACACATCCTGAAAGATGGTCTGGAACAAAGGTCTTTAGTGCTTACATTTTTTTGTTTTTGTACTAGGGATTGAACCTAGGGGCACTCAACCACTGAACCACATCCCCAATCCTTTTTTTGTATTTTATTTAGAGACAAGGTCTCACTGAGATGCTTAGGGCCTCACTAAGTTGCTGAGGCTGGCTTTGAACTTGTGATCCTCCTGCCTCAGCCTCCCGAGCCACTGGGATTACAGGCATGTGCCATCAGGCTCCACTAGTGCCTATATTTGTAAAGAGGCAAAACCATTAGAAACCTGAGAAAGAATTGTCTTAACAGGAATGGATGAGTAACAGAAGAGAGAGGGGTTCAAGAGATTTTGTTTAAGATGTTAGAAATTGTGGATTATGTTATGGATTCACAGGAATGGCCAGTAGAGAAAAATATTTCTGCTGCAGCAGGGAAAGAAGAGAACAGACTAGAGCACGGTCTGGGCCAGGAAGAAGAGATCAGAACTAGCATGCTAGGGAAGAGGCTGACTTGGAGCATCAGCCAGGGTGAAGCCAGAGATGACTCAGACTTGTGAACGTTTTGTCTGATTGCTTTTATTTACTCTTTTAGAAGACAAGGTTATAAGCTGAGGGTGAGGATGGAGGAGGTGGCATGAGAGGTTTGAGGATCTGGGGAGAGTTAACAAACTAAGGAAATACAATATGGCTGTGGAAAAGGCCCACTGGAGGGTGATGCAGTATCTTTAATGTAATGTCTGTCAGAGTTGTGAGTTTTCCTCCAGCCACACTCAGAATTGTATTTAGCCTGGGTTGGTTGGTGTGAAATACCCGAGTGATGAACAGTGGGATTTAAACTTGGTTGGGAGAAGCATCAGAACTTGCAAGGCATCAACCACAGGTAGTGAAGACAGGATGATGGGGTAAGACATGCAGGCGCTGGACCTGCCCCCGTGGTTTGAACAACTATCCTCCCATGAAAATGCTTGCACAAGAATTAAGGACCGGACAGGGGTTGTGGCTCAGCGGTAGAGTGCTCACCTCACATGCGTGAGGCCCTGGGTTCGATTCTCAGCACCACATATAAATAAATTAATAAAACAAAAGTCCAGCAACAACTAAAGTATACATTGAAGGGAACAGGAATGGCCGTTTTACATTATACCCCTTTCTCAGCGCCAAGTACCAGTGTGATGAGAAAGACACTTAGGAAGGAAAGGGAACTAGCACCAGATTTTACCTTGGACCCCAACACTAATACAACCCAATGAAACCCAGCATTGGGCAAGTCACTGCAGCCCCAGACTTGAAGTTGGTACCCATTCCAGGCCTGTCCTAGCACCAGGCTGAATCCCATAGACCCAGGATCCAGCCTATTCAGCAGATTCTGTCCAGGCCTACCTAACCAGCAGGCCAACCTCGGGTCAGGCCATGCCCCACAGCTATACTTAAAGTGAAATTTAAGTCAAAAACTAAAGTAAGATTATCTCCTTTGTTTCTGGAGGCTGCCATTCTTTGAATCCATTTCTATGCTTCCAGTCCTGCATCAGGAGCCCCAGGTTTCTGTGCTACACAGGAGCTGAAAGAACACTAAGGGGGAACACTAAGCATCCTGAAAGCCAGAAAATGGTATTCTCTGCCTGTCATGAAACCAACTCTACTTTTTTGCCTACACCCCTTCAGAGTGTATGTTAACAATACCATCCGAAAATGAGAATTTTGACTCATGTAAATAATTCATACTTTGGAACAAGGAGCTTTCAGTTTCTCTTTTCTTACTAGGTGGCACCCATTTTTTAAGCACATTTTCCAAATGTGTAGAACAGTTGACATTAAGGGATATGGTCGTGGATTTTTCTGAAGAGGAATGGAAATGCCTGGACCCTTGTCAGCAGACTTCATATGGAGATGTGATGTTAGAGATCTGTAGAAACCTACTCTTTATGGATGCAGTGAGTCCCCAAAGGTCACCTTTGGCAAAGGTCAATGCCACCTCCATCACCTATGCTGCTCTCACTGCCCAGGCTCCAGGAAGCCCCTACCGGTGAGTGAGGTATATGGTGGATCTTGACCCAGCTCCACAAAGTGAGAGCTGTGTCACACGTTTACACTCTCGGGACCTTCAGGTCACACCATCTACTCAACAGGCACCAGGAGAAGTCTCTGTGAACCCGCCAGAACAATGGCCACCCCCAGTAAACAAAAATCTCTAAGGCGACATTCCACAGGACCTCTCCAATAAATCCCATGGACCCCTACACCAACTGAATACACAGAAAGTCCACAGCATCCCGTGAGACGGAGGGACTGAGGAAGGCTGGGCCACCCTCCATTGCTTCATTTGTAAGTGGGGAAACTGAAGCCCCAACGGAACAGACTCACGTCGCATCTTAGGCCACGGGAGCCCAAGGGCCCGGTTCCTTGCTGGGCCCACAGTGAAGGCCAACAGGATTTCCAGAGCATATGCACGTCTCTGGCTCCCTTCTCCTGCTGCAGAAGCACCCACCATGCCCTCCACTCCCCAGTTTGGCTCCTGGTTCTCGTACTGAGCTTCCCTGAGGAGCCCTGGGTGGGGCCATTCCCCCCCCCACACACACACACACACACAAGCTTCCCCTAGCCCTGCTCCACCCTTTGCTGCTACGGGTTGCACCTGACTAGCTCCACTGGGCTCCTACCAGACAGCTCTGCCCAATAACTGGCTCCACTCAGCCCAGCTTGGCTCCGCCCCTCCAGTTCTGCTAATTTACTCTTCTCCACTCCGCTTCTCCTGGCTCCACCGCCAGCTATGCCCATTTGTGGGCTCCCCTGGGGTCGCTCTGCTTATCCCTTTGGCTCAACTTGGCTCCGCTCAACTTCCTCTCATAAGCTCCGCCCTACAGTTGGACTCCCCTTTTTGCCCTCTGCTGTACCACGCCCATGTCACCCACTTGCTCCGTGGCATTCTGCCCACTTGACGTGTCCTCTTCTGACATATTAAACATATTTGGATAACCCTGGAACATTTTGAGGTCCACCTTGGCCTAATTCCATCGACATCAACACCATCCCAAATAGCTCTGTTCTTTTTGACGAGCCTGGCTCTTCAGTCAAGGTCACTCCTAGACCTGTCACCCCCACACCCACCTGAAAGTTCCACTGCTCCTTGAGAGCATCCTCAGAAATTAATAAAGGGGTCTTGCAGAGTTGCCCGTGATCCTTGACACCCTGTCCCTCAGACTGTGGGACAACCAGACTTCGGGGTGTGTTCTCCTCGAGACATCACCAATGGATGTCCTTGGACTACTCTGCTCAACTCTGAGTCACAGTGTCTCTGATTACAGTGCAGCTGGTGATTATACTTTATTATCAAACATGCGAGCATGTTTTCAATGCCTTCTGTGTGTCAGGTAGAGGATGGAAGAAGAGGAGACACTTGTGAGAAAAGATAGCAAGGTCCCTGTCCTGCTTGTGGAGGAGCCCAGCCAGGATTAAAGGACAGCTTCTATGCACAGGAGCTGACCCTCTGCTTCTCTCTAGCTCTGTGGCCTTCAAAACCTTCTCTTAGCCTTTGAGCGCAGAATTAGCACAGCTTCTGGTGAAACAAAGGCATCTGTGCTCTCCTCGATAGCCAGCCTCAGACTTTTCACAATGAGACAGCAGCAGTGTCTGACCATGCCTATCTTTCTTAAGGTTGGGTCTCAGGAGAAGAGACTCTTTGTAATAACCTCTGTGTAAATATCCTTCATTCTGAAAGTCTGAAGCAATGCTGGGGAGACTGGGCAGCAACTGGGGACTTGGATGGCAAGCTGCAAAATATGAACTGGGCGATTTAAATAAAAACTATTTGTTAGAGGACATTGGAGAGATCAAGAGAACCTGATGGCAAAGTTCAGTAAATGAAGAGCTGAGCTGTGCCAGTTGTTCTCAGTGCCCCAAACTCCTGCACAGCCGTCCCTGGACATTGCTGCTGTGTGAGCACACTGCAAGCCTTCTACTATGTCTTTATCACTGTGCAGATTCCACGTCTCCAAAGGGTCTAATTGGCTGGATGTAGGTATTGGGAATTTTTCACATTCAAGTAGGTACTGAAGGATGAGTAGAAATTTGCTAAAGGGAAAAGGAAAGGACAGTCCAGGTAAGAACGACCTGTATGTTCCCACAAAAGAATTTGGTGTTTCTCAGAATCAGGTAGACACAGTATGTCAGGTGCTTTCCTCATCAGCTGCTTCTGTGCCCCGAAACCCTTCAAAACTAGAGCAAATTTTTTTTTTGAAAAATCATGTTTTATAAAAATGCTAAAGGCTCTTAGACATCATTATTCAAAGTACATGTATGAAGACATGAATTGATGTGAACATACTTTTTAATACAGAGCTATGAAAATTTGTTCTATATGTGTAGTAAGAATTGTGATGCATTCCACTGTCATGTATTTAAAAAAATAAAACCAATTTAAAAAAATTATATGATAAAGGTGTTGATTCATTAAGAGGATATAAAAATTGTGAATATATATGCATT